CACTTGCAGGTGTGTGAATGTTTATTCGTACACTTACGAGGTGTACGAAAGTGTACGAATGGGTGTTCACACACCTGCAAGTGTGCGACATTCACACACTTGGGTTTCCAGTGTGTTCGAGCTCCCGAGTGAATACGCGCGCGGCATGACTTCTTTCGCGGCATGCGCGTAGCCGCGCTCGTTCAGTACCTGGGACTCGAAGGTCGGCGATTTCGTATGACGGTCAAAATGTTGGTTTTTGCTCTGGCCTTAAAATTATGAGTGGACTTGAAACTCGTCACTTTCCCCGAGCAGGTCTCCTTCGTTGAGTTTTTACGGTGTAGTCTCCTGCTACTATCCTTTCGCGGGAGGGAATTCCTTACACAGTTGAGGGAGGTGGTGGCCTTTATGAGGGGGTAGCTGGCAGTGCCCGCGGTCCCTGCACTCCGCTGCTCTACTCACCGCTCCGCACGCCATGGACAGCCGCCGCTCGTGGTGGAACTTGCACACGTAGAGCGGCTGGCCCTCGCGGGTCAGCCCGGCGCTCGGCGCCCCCGGGGGAATGTTGCCGTTGTAGGCCGCCACCCACGCGACCCGCTGCGGGTTCACCAGGGCCACCTGGAGCAGAGTACGCCGCCGTTTACACTCGGGCCTCCGCCTGGGCGGGTGCGTCAGCAGGGCGCGGCGGGGGCTGGGCACTCGCCTGGTAGGAGGTGACGCTGGTGAAGGTGGAGTTGGCCACCGCGGCCGCCGCGCCCCAGTAGGTGGCCTTGCCCGGGACGATGCTGCCGCCGCGGTACACCCGCGCGATGTAGGAGCGCTCGCGACGCGCCACGTCGTCTCCCGGGTACTGGTAGCCGCACCACACCACGCCGCCGGGCATGTCCCTCCACGTGGCCGTGTCCTCCCACCTCATGTCTGTCGACAGCGGGGATCCAGCCCGGCGGGGTCAAAGTGACACTCACTTCCGAATGGCCGCTTTGCAGATCGGCGGATCGAACCGCGGACACGGCCGCCAACGGCAAGACGCTCGCCTCCGCCGCCGGATGCTTCGCTTTCTACTAACCGTCTCCAAACGCCGGGACTTCGCCGAACCTGCCAGGATCCTCGTAGGCGGCCGCGGCCGGCCCCCGGGCCGCCGGCACCGCGAGCGCCACCAGCAGCCACAGCCGGCAGCACCCCGCCATTGTGAACCTTATCAGCCGAGCATGTGCGCCCCGTCGCGTCGGGCAGGACCGTCGGGAGAGGGGAGGGGAGGGGAGGGGGGCTTCTGACCAACTGGGACTTAATGTGAACATCAAATCATCAAATCGGGGGAAATTGGATGTTAAAGGAATGCAGAAAGCTCCCCCCCCCCTCCCTCCCCCGTCTTACCCCTCTCCCCAACACAACGCTGCGGTCCGCTCGGCGCTCCGAGGGGAGCGGGGGTGGTGGGGCGTAGCGGGGCAGCAGCTCGGCGCGGCGGCGGCGGCGCGCGGGGAGGACAGGGGAAGACACCCCCCGGGGCTCCGGAGCGTGTTGCTCGGCGGGTCTCCACTTCAGTCCGTCAGTGGCGATCTTGGGGGGGTGATTGCGGTAGGGTAGGGGTAGCTGCGAGTGAAGTGTTAAAACCTCGAGCTTACCTCCAATTGAAGGAGACATGGACTTTAATTCTAGTGGAAGCAGTTTTGACCTAGGAGAAGGTAAACCCTTTCTATTTTTATTATTTTATGTACTTGTATTGTTTGACCCACAAGCAAGTAAATGGAGTTGCTTTGATTTCCTCCATGCTTTTATTGTCATGTAGGAACTACTGGTGAGAGTAGTTCCAGTCCTGCTACCAGTACTCCAAAAAAGAAGGGGAGGAAAAGCAGAAGGGGCCGCCAACGAGCAAGTTCTCCAGTGCTTCCCCTATGTGATGCCCAAGTGGGCGACATTGTTTGGGCTAAAGTTAAAAGCTCCCGTTGGTGGCCAGGTATACGAGATCTTATAATAATTGTGGATAATTGTAGATTATTAAGTTGCTTTGTTAATTTTCCTTTATTTTTACTCACAGCAATTCTGGTAAATAAAGAAGATTGCGGTAAACTTGTTACACTGGGTGGTAGGAAAACTACTTATTTTGTATTCTGGTATGGAGATGGCAGAGTATCACCTGTAAGATTATTTTTATATGGTAATTATAACACTAATTATTT